CACATGAAAATTGAAAATAGTTTGGAAAAGTTGCTGAAATGTAAATACTTAATCAACACTTGACTTGGCGCATTTCTGTATGCTTATGTTCATTTTCAATGCTGCACCATAAAAAAAAACAAAATACAAATGCGCATCTCAGTCCATTGCTTAATCTTATTTTATAAAATTATTGCTTCAAATTCACTGCAAATATTCACACTTAATCCTGCACCATACAAAATATAAATTGTTACAACCACTTCCCATTAATTAGTACAGTTATAATACAAGCAATTCACCCCAAAAAAAGATTACTGTTAACAAAGTACAAATATCTTAAACTAGTAAACAAAAAAATTCTATAAAAATAAACTTCTCAGAGCATGAAAATGTTGACTGTAATACCTGAAAGTATTAATACATGTCAAAATTGAGATTATTACAAGTTACCTAATAAATTTTACTATTTATTACGTAAAATTCAGTCATTTACAATGGAAAATTGTAATTTTTGCGTTGTCATAAAAATTTAGTTCTCTCCGTGTTTAAATAATTTAATTGGAACATTTCCTTATAACTATTCAGTGAAAAGCTAGTTTTCAAATACCTCAGAATAGATATAGTGAAACAAAATGTAACAAGAACATTTATTATTAAATTAATTTGAAACAAACATATAAAAACTTATACGAAACAATAAATATATTTAAGTATTACAATAATGTTTCTTGGCATCTTCTGCAATAAATTCCAGTTAAGGTTTCTCTGTTATAATCTTCATCTTCAGTAAACTGACAAGTGAACACTTTTTTAAAGCAAGTCCTGAACTGAGGATTTTCGATTGTTAAAAGGGCCAACAATAAGAACGGCGTGGCATTGTAACAAAATTCTAAAATTATACTGAAAACATCATCAGGAAAACCAAACCAAACTTGAAGTACAAAAGACAATTCAATAAAGCATATTAAATAAAATAAATTATTACTGCTATTGAGAGTCCTTTTTCTACATTTGCAAACGCATCTTACAATTATCAGAGTTAAAAGAAACAAAGGGAAAGCCACATGATATAGTAACATTACTGCACTTAAGAAGGTGTGAGCATGATGCCCTTCTTGAGCGCAAATCCTTGTTGAGATGATGGCACTAAATGTTAAAGGGGCCCACACAGCGACAACTGCAACTTTATAATTTTCTTTCCATTGCACTAGTTNTTTGTTTTTTTTTTTTTAATATATTATTAATTGATTTCTTTAAAGCAATAAGAATCACATGGATTAAGAAAACTCATAATTAACAAGAATGTATTTATTAGTAAGTGATAAATAAAAAAATTACAATTAGTTTACAACAAAAAGTTTGTATCTAATAAGAAACTTAATTTTACTTTACGACTTTAAATTATGAATTTACAATAGTAATGTTATGCAAGCAAATAATAAAATATACTAGGAATATAACTTTTGTTCCATTTTTCCTTTTACAATTAAACATTACACATGGTCTTAATAATTTAAACGGTTAATAAACCTAAATACACAATTTCGTTCTAATTAAAAGGTAAATTAAATGTTTACAAGTTCCTGCATTAATACATTAAATCAAACTAATGATATGTTCTATCCTATTGAACTCTTGAATGAGTGGCTATCTCCACGACACTAAAACCTTAGCTCTGCTGCTTTCAGCCTGTAATAATTCCTTCAAACTATCCTCCATCCCAAGTTGTAAGTTGAGCCAGATAATTCTGTTTCCTAGTAGCCTATTAGATGTGTTTTGTTAGGCCTTTTCACAAAGTGAATACTGAGCACGTACATGTTTGAATTATGTAGGAAGCTATGATAAAAATAAAATACAGCAGCTGTAAATACTTTAATTGTGATCCACTTACCCACTAATTTACGTGTTTAAAACGTATATTAGCCAAATAAAACACATTATGAACAATTGGATGGTCTTCGACAGTACGCTTCAAAAAAAGACCATTACCCTTTTCCCGTTAACATTTAGTCCTGCACATATTTATTAATTTCTAATTTTAGTAATACAAGTTAATTGGTACACCATAAACCAGTTTTGCCTTAAAAAAGCACTAAATAGGTCCCTTATAGGGCCAGCTTCAGAAGAAGAATTGTGTTAATCACGTACCTCAGGCATTAAAACATGATAAAATAGCAATTTTGGAAAAAGGAATATGCTATAAATTACTTGTTTTTCCCACGTAAACACCAATTTACGTAAATTTTCTCCAAAAAATATGCCACTTTTGTAAACATAACCAAATATAACCTAGACATTTATTTCAACTGTTTGCAATATTCCTGCTGCAGCATGTGGAATTACGAAATTATTGGTGATATTTTACAAACTGCATTTGCCCTGCTTTCATATTTTGTTAATTTTACCTTCTAATTAGCATTAAATAATAACTGGAAATCTTTGTTATTATTCTACAACTGTCAGATTGATATCATCAAACTTCATCAGCAGAACCAACTTAAATTCTAAAGTCAACCTCTAAATTCAAAAATTACTAGATTATATTTCCCATGCAACTTATGCTCTCCTAATACAAAAATCCGAAATTTTCAAGTTTTACGTTCAGTCACCATTAAAGTGTATGTCCGGCGCCTTCACCAAAATTACTCGACAATTGTGTCCAGCGCATTCACCAAAATTAATTTTAATATCCTATTTTACACGAACTATAATTGTCTATAATTGTTTTGTAATTAATAATTAATTATCATTAGCTCATTATTTTGATTAAAATATACTGTTAATTATACATTAAATTTGATTTATGTTCTTTTAAATTAGTCTGTTTTATACTGAAATAAAAACCAAAGAAGTTAATAAGTAAAAGAACTTTATTTTTATTGAATATTATTATATTTACAATTTCATTAGTATTATAGTGTAAGTATACGTAAATACAATAAGTTTAATTTATTTAAATCAACAAAAGATAACATTTTCTTCTACTACGTTGTAGT